CTGCCAAGGGGGGGGATTTGGGGGCTGGGACTACAACTCCCAGAATCCCCGGCCCGGGCGGCCGTTCTTGTGCTTGGTAGGGGCTTCTGGGAACGGTAGTCCCAATGTCTCCAGAAAGGGAGAAGCCCAGGGGCAGGTTATAGAGATCTTTTTTGGGGGGGGGAGGGGAATTAAAAACAACATCTCGGTCCCCCTCTCCCCAATTTTAACCTATTTGGCTAAAAATTCAGCAAGGAAAATGAAGGGTGTGTGTGAAATAAAACAGGGTTTATCAGGGGGCAGGTATCCTAACTGCCCTGGTCGGGTGGAATCGAATGGATCCAAAGGATTTCATCTCTCTCTCTATTCCTTTCCAAAAGAATTTGGTGTTGTACAGGTAGTCCTCAACTTTACAGCGGTTCAACATTACAATGGCACCAGGGGAAAAAGTGACTTAATGACCGTTTTTCACACTTAACGACCGTCGCAGCATTCCCCCACAGTCACGTGATCTGCATTCGGATGCTTGACAACTGACTCATGTTTACGACGGTTTGCAGGGTCCCCCGAGATCATGCGATTCCCCCCTTTTGGGACCACCTGGCAAGCAAAGTGAATGGGGAAACCAGAGTCACTCAACAACCCTGTTCGCTTAACAAATGTGGCAAGAAAAGTCGTAAAAATGGGACAAGCTCACTTTGCAAATGTTTCACTTAGCAACATACATTCTGGGCTCCGATGCGGTCATAACTCAAGAACTGCCTGTTTATGGATTTATTTGTTACAGGTAATCCCTAATCTAAATTTTTGTTTGACCTCCACTCTGCTTTCTGGGCAATTCAATAGAGAGAAAAACATCCCAGAAAAGTAAAATAATTCAATGATAAAATAATCCAACAGTAAAAATCCCAAGCAAACCATGGCAGAAACCCGGCAAGCACCAAACAAATCCACACGACCTAGAAGGGAGCTTCAGTCCTTGCACTGTTTCAATTTCATTCTCGCAATGGCCACGGAGGAATAGGATGATTCACGAATCGTTGGGCCAAGGCTATTTATGGAACTGAATGGCCAATTTGGACAATCATGAATCATGATGGTTTGGCCTTCTATTTCATCAGCTACGAAGCCAAGGACCCGCCTTTCCGATACTCTCCATTCTGGATTGTCAACTTCCTTTTCTCATCTGAGGTTTAGTCAATGGCTTCCAATTCAGGAAGACAGAACTGTGTCCTGTCATTTTTCTTTTGCTCCACTGCTTTCATGGTTATGGACCTGTATCTCAGGAGTTTCCAACCTTGGAAACTTGTGGACTTTGACTCCCAGAATCCCCCAGCCATCTTTTAAGATGGGTGGATTTCGACTCCCAGAATCCCCCAGCCAGCATCTTTTAAGATGGGTGGAACTCAACTCCCAGGATCTCCCAGCCATCGTCTTTTAAGATGGGTGAACTTCAACTCCCAGAATCCCCCAGCCAGCCATGCTGGCTAGGGAATTCTGGGAGTTGAACTCCACATATCTTCAAGCTGCCAAGCTTGGAGACCCCTGCTCTATCTCTGCTTCATCTTTCCTCCCAGGTGAATCCTTGAAGCATCTGTCTCTGAGTAGTACCACCATGTCCATCGACATTTAGCCAGGATTAATTGCTACTTCTCTCCCACCAGGAGAAAAAAAATACTACTGGTGTTTGTTTGCTTTAACATCTCCTTTTGAGCTTTTTTTTTTTTTTGGCTTTTCTTTCTTTCTTTTGGGAAATTGACTTTTGGACTTCCTGCTAGGTACAATTCCCCCCCTTCCCAAAGCAGGCCAGTATCATTCTGCTTTCTTCCTTTTGCAGCATATTTTGCTTTGTAGTTTCCTCCATGGGGAAATGACACAGAGCCCGAATTGTTCCTTCATCTGCTAGATGAATGATTCGTTTCTTTGTCTAGCTTCCTGCTGTTGCAAAGGTTGCTGCCCTGGTGAACTATCAACCTGCAACCTGGTTTAGATGACCAAAATCCACCTCTTTCCCTCCGTCACATGATTTCTAAAAATGTGGCAAGCATCCTGCTCCCCAGTGAGACTTATTCTATTTAAAAAAAAAAAAAGAATCCTTTCTGAACTCATGACCAGAAAAGAAATGCCCTGGTTTCTCCTTTGTAAATGCTCATTGTTGTCAACAGCAGCCATTCTTGAACTGTGTACCAGGGGACACTAGTATGTAGTAAGAAACAAATGGGCTAATAAAGAGCCACTATTAAATAAAAACACCCATTCATAGAGGGTATTGTTTGCCTTGAGCGGCCTGGTTCAGTCCTCTTGTCTTCCCCCCCCCCCCCACTTGCCCTTTTCTGGAGGGGATAATTCTCTTGTATCTCAACAGTGAGAATTATTGAGTCGTTTATCAGGGCCTGGTGCAGTCTCTGCCTGAGTTATTTCCCAAGGCTCGCTTCTCCAAAGTGAAATATTTCAGTAGAACGGTGCTCACCCATCCCTCCTCTAACAGTGGAAAATTATTTTTTTGTTCTCCAGAAAAGCCATCGATTCAGAGGGTGGAGATATATCCTGGAGGAACGCTCTGTATTTTTTTTGTTTTTATCAATATTTAGTCAACAGTGCTCGGAATGCTGCTGGTTACCAACTGCTTCAGACAGGATAAATGCAAGGAATTACCCTTTCCACACCTGTGGCTCTGCACCCTTTGCTGGGAAACTGCGCTTTAATTCCAACTGCCAGTCATCTGTATCTTTTAAGAGTGGTGCCTTACAATGTGCCTTGGGATTCCCCTGGAACATTTATGATCTGGATGCTTTCACCTACTTCTCCTTTATTCTCCTTACTGCGTCCTCTGCTTTCATTTAATATTCTCTGGTTACAATCTGGCTCTGCCTCTCTTCTGTTTTCAGGTATGAAGGATAATCATACCTTGAAGTCAATCCTGTCTTTTGCATAAGATCGAGTATTTTTTAGAACTATTCAGTCTGGATTTGGAGACTTAATTTCCCCTCTGTAACTGGGGTGAAACATAAGATTTGAGAAACGGTTGGAATCCTCAGCTGGTGAATTTTGACCTTCCTATGCCAAAGACAAATTCAATTACTTCTGTTTTTCAGTTAATTTTATTGGCTTGGTGTGCCCTTAGGAACATAAACTGAGTCTGGAACATAATCTGTAAAATGGGATTAACATTGGAAGGTTTCCTATAGCTATAAACAATATAATTTAGGTAGGTGTTGTGCAAATGGTATCATTCAACATTTGAAAAATTAATGCTTTGTTTGATTCCCAAATGGTAATAAAATTAAGGCTTTATAGACCCCCAAAATAAATCCTAATACCAATGTACCTAGGTAAAAAAACACCGTCGAAACCTACTAATTTCCAGACCAATCTAATACTTTTTAGAGGAAGATTTTCAGTCTAGCAAATTAACTAGTCCTTCAACAGTAAAAAGACAAATTTAAGACCCCAATTACTTCGTTAATTGAAAATCTGATCTTCCTTCCCATTTAGGAGTAAGTTGCTTATAAATGGTTATGTGTGGATAATTGCAGTGAGATATATGGTGACCCTTTGCTGAAACTGTTCCCTGAAGATGTGTGTGTGTGTGTGTGTGTGTGTGTGTGTGTGTGTGTGTGTGTGTAAAACATCAATGAGAAGTCTTTACATGTGTAATTTTATTGCTGTTGTTGCATAACTTCCTGATAAGTTTAGTCACTTATTAAAAGAATACAGGTCAAAGGTGGGATTAATTGGATAGGTTTCCACATTGGAGGTTAGTATATAGTAGTAGAATCGAGGCTTGTTTAATAGTTGAAAATAAGGTCAGAGCCAAGTTTTAAAGTCATATTTAGGAGGAGACGAAAGATCTCACCAAACTGGTTAGCTGGGGAGGCAAGGCCCAATGAGATTCCTCGGCAAGGGTGGTGTGAGGTTCACAAAGGAATAACACACCCCCAATTTCACACCGACGTACAGAAGATCAAATGGTGATTACCCAATTAGAAAACTTCTCGCCATGCGTTAACGTTTTCTGCCTCTGCTTTGGCGTTATCATGAAAACCCGGCAATGCCTCTGAACAACTTAATGGACGTTGTCTTCAGTTGTCCATGCTTGGGGTGGAAAGCCAAGTTGCCATCCTGTGAACATCAATCGATCATCAGAGCAATAGTAAAACATTGGCTTAGGATTTCACTTGGCTGACCACAGCCGGGCCCCAAAGTTCTGTGGCTAAACGAGTCATTTGTTAAACGAGCGTTGTCCCATTTTATGACCCGCCTTGCCGCCATTGTTAAGTGAATCACTGCAGTGGTTTGTTACATGGTTGTTGAGTGAATCTGGTTTCCCCGTTGACACGGCTTGTCAGAAGGTCACAAGAGAGGAATCACGTGACCCCGGAACACAGCAAACCGTCCCAAATATGAGTCAGTTTCCAAGCGTCCGAAGGTTGATCACCTGGCCATGGGAAGCTACGACCGTCCTAAGGGTGAACAACTGTCGTAAGTCACTTTTTTCACTGCCGTTGTAACCTCAATGGTCACTAAACAAACTGTTGTGAGTTGAGGACTGTACTATATCTGCTCTCGTATGCCCTCAACCCAAAGGGATAATGTAGGATGGTTGCCTTTTTCTCTTCCATTTGAAAATGGCTATGAACTCATTTGAAGTTCTTTATGGGGAAGAGGATTTCTAGTTGCTTCTTTTTGACTTTAAAAAATAAATAAATAGGAAGGGAAGGTTTACATCCAGACGATGTGGGTGAAAGGAAGAGAGTCGCGTTCTCTGTCTACTCTCTCCCATAAAGTCAGTTAGATTTTAGATAGATTGGTAGCGATGCTGAAAAAGTAAAAGCACTTTTTCATATAGTTCACATCGTCGGAAACCCATTGCCATAAAAAAAACGGGATTTCTTTTTTGGGGTATTTTTTTTTTTAAATCAATTTTCTACACCGTCCACCTCACCCAAGTTAGAAAATTAAAATGATTTCAAAGGTAATTAAAGATTTAAAGAAATCTGATTTCTTGCGTGTCCCGTAGCTTTTTGTGATGCCCGTCTTTCTCTCTTCTTGTCCCCTGCTTCTAAAGCAAGTGACCAGCAATGGCACCGCGGGGGGCGGCGAAGGGGTCGTGGAGACTCAGCAGCCGAACCAGCCCCAGCAACAAGCCCCGAATGCCTGGCAGATCATCAAAGGCGTCTTATTCAGGTAAAAATCCGCCCCTTCTGGACCCCACCCCACTCTTCTTGTCTTCACATTGTGCATTATGCAGGATAGAAAGAAGGATGAGCTGGGTGGTGCCAGCGTTGGCCTTAAAGGGCAGGTAGGTGCCTGTCCTTTAAGGCCAACGTGTTCCTGTGTGGTACGAAAAAGCATTAGCTTCTCTAGGAAATTCACAGCTGCCATCTCCAAAGGGGTTAAAACCTATGTAAGCTTACCGAAAAAACCATTCACCCTGGTTCTTCAGCTTTGTTCGGGTATTTTCCCACGTCATTGTAGTTGTGCTTTTAAAGTTGTAGCAATGTTTCGGCAGAATCTCATCTGCCATCATCAGGCTTCTGTATTGTGTCCGTCTGTGAGTCAGACTTTTACAGTGGTTTCAGATTTAAATTTGGGGCAGCCTATTGCTGTGCCAGAATGTTTTTTTCTTCATCCTGATTGGTTGGGAGTCTTGGTCTGTCCAAGTCACCAAGACCAATAAACACAGACTTTAAAAGCACAACTACTATGACGTGGGAAAATACCCGAACTAAGCTACATACATACATACATACATACATACATACATACATACATACATAC